TATATATGTATATATATACATATATATAATATATATATATATATATATATATATATATATATATATATATATATATATATATATATATATATATATATATATATACATATATATATATATATATATATATATATATATATATATATATATATATATATATATATATATATATATATATATATATATATATATATATACGATGCTTCACTCTTAGTAATATTACAGCAAAAGTACACGAGAAAGTACAAATGAAAGCTCAGCTGATTTAGCCCTAAGACGGAGACAGAAATCAAGGTATTTATGTTCCCAGTGTCCTCATGCTGGGACTTCAAGATGGTTAAGAAAGGAGAGAATCCCTGGTGTTTTATGGGATAAAATGATCTAATATTTTGGCCGTGCATTAAAGCAGGATTGAAGAGATTATACGAGAAAGCTAACACGCGTAGAAACTATTATTTTTTCTTTCTCTCTCTCTCTCTTTCTTTCTCTTTCTTTCGTCCTTTCTATCACTGTTTTTTTTTCTCTTCCTTTGTTTCATGACTCTCTCATTTTTTCTTTCTCTTCCTTTCCTTCTCTCTTGCAGTCTCTTCCTCCCTTCCTCCCTTCCTCCCCCTCTTTCTTTCCCCCTCTTTCTCGCATACACACACTCACAAACGCACACACACACAGACACACACACACTTACACACACACACACACGCACGCACGCACACACAGATACACACACACACACTCACACACACACAAACATAAACACTCACAAACACACACACACACACACACACACACACACACACACACACACACACACACACACACACACACACACACACACACACACACACGCATAAACACTCACACACGCAACACACACACACACACACACACACACACACACACACACACACACACACACACACACACACACACACACACACATATGCACTCAAAACACACATTGTGTCACAGCTTTATTCATACACACGCTTTCACACAAACACAAACAACCCCTGTAAGCTAATATATGAAATAAATGTATGACCTGTCAAAATACTGATGGTATTTGGCAAAATATAATCAATAAAGTGAAAAAGACATATGATCATAATACAAAGGGATTTCATAACGGATTTTCATAAAAAAAAATAATTTATGCATAACCCTTAGAAAAACATAACAATAAGGCGTTATGACATTCAATGTAAAAAACCTGGAGAGAAAAAAGAAAAAGAAAAAAAGAATTAACTATATTCCTGTAAAAGAAATAGTTTGATAGTTTTAGTAAAGAATAATCAAATAATTGAAAGGAATTCGTGAGATTCTTAAGAGAAAATCAGAAGAAAAATCACACACGGTTTGGAAAATATATATATATTTTTTCGTTACTTCTGTGAATACCAGCATGAACGTTGAGTACATTGTCCTGTGTAAAGAAAAAAGGCATATCATTATAGAATATAAGAAAGGAAAGATTTATCACCGATGTCTGAAAAAAAAAGGAATATAAAGTACAGATACAACAGGAGGACAAATTAATACAGTAATAAATCTAATAATACAACTGATACACAAAACTCCAATACAGGCCATTATTTCGTTACCAAATTTTACAAAATAACTTATTTATAGTATGAACCAATGCTGGTAAATATCAGAAAATTGTAACGTATTTATGACTGCACCAAACTTAGCATATTTAAATTGTGAATTATACGTCATCGCCAACAGATGTATGTATGTTTTATTGTGAGTATGTACGTACAGGATAGACAGATGTGGTCATGTAAGTATTTAGTAGATCTGTGGTTTACTGTATGTATATGCTGTATTTTTTGCGCAAACGCATGTGTATGTGTGTGTGTGTATTTGTGTGTGTGTGTGTGTGTGTGTGTGTACATATATAGATATACATATATATATGTATATATATACACATTTACACACACACACACACACACACACACACATACATATATAAATATATATATATATATATATATATATATATATATATATATATATATATATATATATATATATTTATATATATGTATAAATATATACATACATACATACATACATACACACACACACACACACACACATACATATATATATATAAATATGTATATATATATATATATATATATATATATATATATATATATCTATCTATATCTATATATATATATATATATATATATATATATAGATATATATATATATATATATATATATATATATATATATATATATATATATGTGTGTGTGTGTGTGTGTGTGTGTGTGTGTGTGTGTGTGTGTGTGTGTGTGTGTATACACACACATATCTATATATTTATAGATGCACATATACACACATATACAGACATTTACAGACATATAAATGCAGGTCCTACTGTCTATTTCAAATTTCCCGAAAGCGATTCCTTGCCCACTCATCCAATCCGGCAGCGAAGGTATTAGTGTCGAGTAAAAGAATGGAGAAGGGAAAGAAGAA